CACTTTGTTAACTGCTTTGTTTTTGTCTCTTGTGATAGTAAATGTGTGGCTATAGAGGTGGCCGTTTGTCCGTCTTGTAACATTTGGTGTCAGAAGTGGGATAATCTTCTAAACTACATTTGTTATCCCAAGATAAAGACATTCTAGTACTAGAATATAAATGTACATTGATGTGTTAATCAATGGTATAATTGTTTTAAGACATATATAAATATTAAAAATGTAATTTGTAGGTTATGTAAGATAAACGTAAACTAATAGTAATGACTGGGTGTATTTAAAGTGGGCAAATTTAGTTCGGACTGACACACAAGGAATAGTGGAATTTATGTTTTGAAGGGTTATTTCGATGTGTATATGTCCATTACTGGAGTTTGTTAAGCCTGGAAAGGAGATTGGTTTAGAGGGTGAAGAATTGAGAGGTTTTGTAAATGAACAAAAAAGTCTGCACGGGAGGAGCGAGATCTTGAGACAGAAAAGAGCGAGAGAACGTGAGCTTCGAATGCCTGAAAGTGAGAGAGCTAGTAAAGATTTAGAAATGCAAGGGCATATTGTTGACAAGGAGATATTATTAGAACATATGAAACGGCAAACGATAGAAAGAATTGATGCTTCGAGTAGGTGTGAAGGTAGGCCGGCTCGTCGACCGAAATTGCCAAGTTTTGACGAAACGAAAGATGATATTGACGCGAATTTATATCGTTTCGAACACTACGCGAAATCTGAAAGTTGGCACCACGAGGACTAGGCAGTTAATTTTAATGGAATGCTTACAGGCAAAGGGTTGGATGTTTTTTTAAGGTTATCAACTGAGGATGCTTTAAATTATGATGTTTTAAAGGAATCTCTTTTAAAAGGGTATGATTTGACAGCAGATGTTTTCAGACAGAAGTTTAGAACAGCCAAACTACAAAAGGGTGAGTTTGCTAATTTATTTTGTGTGAGACTAGAGAATTACTTAAACAGGTGGATAATTTGGCCAAGGCAGCAGAGACGTTTGATGGTCTGAAAGATCTCTTACTTCGTGAACAGTACATGCAGTCTTGTCCCAGGGATTTGACACTGTTTATTTGAGAGAATTGTCCTATAGTAATGTGGCGGAAACTGCCGAATTTGCAGATAGGTATATTGAAAGGCATAGTAGACATAATTTTAATAACGAGTTTTCATGTAATTGCGAAAATGGGGATTTGCAGCAGATTAAAGGGTGTTATATACGCTTCAAAAAAAAAAAAATGTAGAGGATATTGAAATGCAAATACCTATGCAGGTTGTGATATGATAATTAGTCATGGACACTTGACATGCTTTGAGAGTATGTTCACAGATGAAGGACTTATCGCCCCAACAGAACAACTGGGCTGCACGATATTATTTGTACTAAACCAAAAGATGCAGCTCCTATAGAAATTTAAAAAGTAAAAATACCGCAATTTCTAAATCTGCTCTAATAACCCAAAAGCTACATTTTACTGCTATTTAGAATCGTCAACAATAGGTTTTTACGGCTGTAATAGTTGATAGATGTGTAGAGAATTGCACGTGCGATGGCTATTTATAGTCTCATAGACTCTAGTGCTGAGTATTATCATACTGCGTGGTTAACAGAAGTCACTTCGAGACAAGCCAATAAAGCGTGCACATTCGACGTGTCGAGTCCAACTTTCTGTAGAGAAAATTTTCAACCCACGGGTCACCCTACCAGTGGTAATAATATAATTTGAAATAATGATATCCGATATGCATGCTTGTATATTTCACATGCCGTATATGCACCCACTGTAAACGGAATCCAGCTATCAAAATAATTAGTTCTCTTTAAAAGGAACTGTCGGCCATTTTTATTACATGTATTAACATTCTTTTTAAGACCTCGTCTTTATTAGCCCAGTTAGGAGGTCCCATTTCATGATGTAAACGAACTTGTAAAACGATTTAATGGCACTCTCAAATCAATGTTAAAAACAATGTGTGCAGAAAAGCCTAAAGACTGGGATCGCTATTTACCACCGATCTTATTTGCGTATCGAAAAGCTAATGAGGATAGTTTAGGTTTTCGTCCTTTCGAGTTGTTATATGGTAGGAATTTAGAGGTCCTATGCAGATCTTGCATGAACTGTGGACTGGTTAAATATCATCAACTGGGGTAAACAGAACTCATCAATACGTTTTAGGTTTGAAAGATCGCCTTGAAGAAACGTGTAAACTGGCCATGGCTGGTAAGAGATCAAAATATTATTACGATAAAAAGAGTTGTAAGAATAGTCTTAAGGTTGGGGATAAGACTTTAATATTATTACCAACTGACAATAATAAATTGTTAATGCAATGGAAGGCCCGTATCCAGTTGTAGAACTTCAAGGTAAATTTGATTACAAATTGGAAGTAAACGGTAAGATTAAAACATTTCATGCTAATTTGTTGAAACCTTACATTAGTAGATTATCTTCCAGTGTTGATCAACATAATTTAGTACAGGCAGCGGCAATAATTTGTGAACCTGTGGACACGGCTGTAAATGAATGCGAAGTGGTTTTACCTCCATTGATGGCTAAAGGGACGATCTGAGATGTCATTTTGATCAAAGGTTGACTAAGAATCAATTGTTAGAGATGGAGAACTTATTGGATCAATATGGATGTCTAACTGATTTACCAGGTAAGACTACGCACTTATCCAATTTATCATGCAATGAAAGATGTTATCGAACAAGAAGTGTCATCGATGTTAAACATGGGTATAATTGAAGTTTCAAACTGTTCATATTCGTCGCCCATTGTCAAAGTGAAAACCCCCCAGATGGTTCCAGTAGGTTCTGTATTGATTTTAGAAGGTTAAATCAGATAACAGTTTTCGATACCGAATTGACTTATAAACTTTTTCTCACTTAACACTGATTCTAAAGAATATTTAAGAATTACTAAAGTAAAATTAAGCAAACTTTCTTTTGGTAGCTACTTACATTCCTGAATAAGACTTATCAAATCTTTTTGGCTGTACAGTTTGTTTTTCTTGGCGTTTTCTAGTTAGGCAAAAGTAACTCTATTAATTGATTGGCAATTATTATAATGTGACTTTCAGCAGGCGGAGATAACCCTGAGCTTCATCTGGATACTAATAACTCAAAATGATTAAAAAGTGACCTGAGCACTTGTTTTATGCACAGAACAAATATCCAATAAAAGAGCTTAATTTGGGGCTTATTTCAACAAATATGACAAGACTTACCATTAACATCATCATTCATGAACAATTAAACTATTGCTAAGTTAGATATTTGTGTGATTTAACCATTTGAATGTGACCTTCGAAAATGTGGAAAAGATCGCCCAAGTAGCGTTTCAAATTTTGCTCTGAAAAACGAATTCTTAATTTCCGCACCCGGGATTCTTCGTTTTTTTACCTACGTACAATTAACGATTGGATTTAACATTTGTACGTGTGTGCAACCCTTAGTTAGAGAGAGAGGCTGTCTGTATTTATCAGTTAGCTTGAGCTGATTTTTTTTTAACGTTTACGTGCAATAGACTATCGTTAATTTCGTGGTTTACAAACGCAATATATGTAGCGAGTGCTTGTCGTACTCATATTATAGACGTTATACAGTATATCCTTTATGATAATCCTATTTTGTTTCAAATAATTATCACAAATATAAAAATCATACACATCAAAAACGGAGCACACGAAATCATTTTCAAATCGGTTCGGCAACAGTGGTCCAAATGTCTTATCATACGGAATTCCTTGTAAGAATCTACTTAGAAGTCAAAAATGCGACTCCTACACATTGCGCTCTGACTGTGTTATAAATTATAGAATAAACCGTAAATCAATTGAACCCATTTCAAGGTGGAACTGCATGCGTTTTGATATGGTTGGGCTCTTTGAGGCGCCAGATAATCTAAAAATAGAAGTCGTTACGTGACAATGCGTCTCGAAAAATTCTTTGATCTGTTATATGATGGGAAAATTCTGTTATTAAAAACAACCGGCATGAAAATGACTACTTAATAAATTGGAAGTTCTACAATAAGGATCTTTTAGTGAAATGTTAGATTAATTTAAGTTTAAATATATTCTTTGTGTTTCAATTACCACTTATGGTTGGTTGTGTCGTATTATGTATCAATCTGGGAATTTCTGTTTTATAGCTATTGTTCTTGAAAGTAAGACGCACAATTTACGCATTGTGTCGCGTTTTCATATTTTTAATAATTATAAAACAGTCAATGCGCGCCTTTTTTAGTTATATTTCAGTTCTAGAAAAATGAGTTGTTGCTGAATTTATAATAAATGAAACGTTTTGTAACCACCATGTTAGAAATTGCAAATGCAGTTTTTAGGCGCGAAAGCATAAGAATACTAAACACGAATAATGGCATAGCCATAAATTTGACACAAACAAAACCGGAGGCCAAATTCGCAGCGCCCTAAAATGATTTGAATTCGAGTCTTGTGACCAGTACCGTAATTTTATTTTAATCATACACGTCTGATTAATCGAGACTAGGGAAAATACATTTGGTTCAATTAATTTCCAGTCTCAAGTTTTTAAATAAAAGTAACTTTCACAGTCTTGCAGTGTCGGTATGTTGCCGCGAGAGTGGGTTTAAAAGATAGAAAAAGGGCGAAACTACATGAGTTGACCTTGAACCAAGAACCGTTACAATGTATACGTCATTGGTTACAATCAACTAACTTAGAAATTAAATCGCCGAGTTTTAGCCAAAATTTTAATCTAGTTCGTAACTACTTATTTTTAAAAGTCCAACGAGTAAAGAAGAATTTTTTACATGGCTTTATTGGTAAATAAGTAAATGAATTATTGTCACGTGAATGTCTTTTTTGGACGACTGTTTGCTGCCTACAGTGCACGGGCGAACCCGTGAGAGCACTGTTCTCATAAACGCTGTTTTTATCCGCGTGCCTGCACTACAGTTTATATAGTACAAATTATTGAGCCTGCGGGCCACTCGACATAATGTTGTAAAGCACAGATTTCCGGGTCACTCACAAGTAGGCTAGCGAATAACTTTAACAACTTTACGGTGTATGTAGTTTATGTTGAAAACTACAACCTGTCGGTCTGTTACGTGATGTCGGGTGTTCTCAAAAGGGTAAGCATATTCTAATATTAAAGACAAACAAGCGCCAGCATCGCCAAGAACAATCGACGATATTAAAGTATACAGAAAGCGAAGTACACTATCAAACTAGTAGTTTCAACTGGCAAGTTGTACAATGTAGCAACAGCAATGCTTTACAGATATATAAATAATGTTGAAATAAGATACAGGAAAGCTGGATCAAGTCATATAGAATTTATAAGTTATATATACGATGGTATGACGTTTGTAACATTGAAAGATACATATATACATGTAGCAATAAACAAACAACGTTCGGGTGGGACGAAAAAAAAATCAAGTTCCGTGTACACGTTGGTCTGCACGTAAAAGAACCCTTGATTGTCGGAATTCGTAATAGGAGTATGCCATGGCTCTGTTGTCCAGGCACAATGCCCATATAGCATACGGCATATCAGCAGGTCATGTCTTTGTGAATAGTGACCGGTCATAAGTTGAAAATGTAAAGTTAAAAAAGTGAAGGAGGATAAAAGCGTTTATTCGATCTTTCGGATCTGTAACCAGTGGAGAATGTCAGGCTTAAAGGACAATATTGGTGCCAGTCATTATCACATATGTGATAAAGCTGGTTAAACACATTCCAAATATAATTTTAACACAGAGATCCTTGCTACGATAGCTGAGTAATACAGGTTTCCTGAATCGGAAGTGACGAACGCCAAAGGAATACACGAGCGATCTCTCTATATAACTGACTGATGTGACGAGTGATAACAGATACACGGTCGACTTTCTGCTCACTAATAATTCCTTCGAAGACCAAAAGTTGTTATATGGGACTGTAAGAGGATATCTGACAATTCAATAGAGTAATTGAATGTCATTAGATAGGAGAACACGGGAAAAAATAGAAATAGTTCGTACATTCCCTTGTTTATATTCATTCAATACCTTATAAAAACATGGTAATTCACGGACTTTTTTCTGTTTTTCTTTTGTGTTCACTTATCTAGTGGCAGTCAATTCTTTTTATGAATTGTCAGATATCCTCTCACAATCTCACACAACAACTTTTGGTCTTCGAAAAAATTATTAGTGAGCAAAAAGCAGAAATTCGCCCGTATATCCGTTATCACTCGTCACATCAGTCAGTTATATATCGTAGCAATGATTTCTGTGTTAAAATATATATTTGGAATGTCTTTAACCAGCTCTATCACATCTGTGATAATGACTGGCACCAATATTGTCCTTTAAATACCAACTCATGGCCTGTACCATTAGCAGGACCTATCCGTGATTAATTTTAAACTAAAACTTCTTGACAAATTATCATTTATACCAGGCGTCAATTTGTTCAGGACCCCTCCAGGTCACAAAAGGATTAAATGTGTTTAGAACAGCGTGGGGGCGATTGCAGAACAAAAGTCAATCTTTCCTAGTTTGATACATTAAACATATTTAACTGAAAACAGATTAATGTGAAAGGAATGTGCACGAAATTATAAAATCGCTAAAAATAATGAGCAGGCTCTTCCGCCTTAGTTTATTATTATCACAGAACTGCACCACAATTGGGTGTATCCGCAATTGCGCTCTTTATCTATTTAAAAAAAAGTTCAATGACAAACGCGTGGGGTTTATTGAAATGAAATGGAGTTTAAGGCGGCAACACACGGTGCTATGGGGGGAAATTGTGCCCGGACAGCGGCGCTCTGGCCTACACTTATATCAAATTCCAACTGCCGAGGCATCTTTTACGTGCACGCAATAGTGTATACGGGACTTTGATTGTTCGTCCCATCCGAACGACTATACGCTGTGCCTTGTGAGGTCATGGGTCCTGCACAACTGACAAAGAAGAATCCCGCCGGAAAATCCCGTTGAAGTTTCTCGGCCAACGCAGGGATCGAACACGGAGCCTCCAGGTAAGCGAGCAACGTCTTACCTGCTGAGCCACCGTGGTTCCCGCGCGGGTTTAATAATGTATTACTTTTCGGAAGATAGTGTCTTGAGTAGGATGTTGTGACATCGATAACATTAACACATATTGTCCCAAGAGATGTTGGGACCGCACATTTTACTCTCCTGAAACAAACATTTTAAATATACATTATGTAAGATTTGGATGAAGAGCTGACCATTCTTGCTATACCAGCTCAAAAATAGATAATGCAAAATGAAAATATTGAAAATTTCATTCAAATTACTCTATTCTGAGCCAAGTTATCAGTTTTTGTAGTTTTGACAAGATGTGTGTATTGTGCAGTGAAATGAAATGAAATGAAATGAAATGGAGTTTAACGTCCTACTGTTCTGCTCCTAACCTGGGCTAATGAAGACGGGCATACGCCATACAGTGTGCTATGAGGGAAATTTTGCCCGGACAGCGGCACTACGGCCTACTCTTATATCGAATTCCAACTGCCAAGGGATCTTTTACGTGCACGCCAATGTGTACACGGGACCTCGGTTTTTCGTCCCATCCGAACGACTAGACAGCTTTCCTTGTCAGCCCCTCCGTCCTGCATCACTGACAAGGGAGAACCACGCCGGAAAATCTGGATGAACTTTCTCGGCCAATGCAGGGATCGAACACCCGACCTCCAGGCTAGCGAGCTAGCGTCTTACCCACTTAGCCACGTGATCCCCGTATTGTGCAGTAACCAGGGCATTGGTATATTCGAGACTTAGTCTCGCTTTCCCATTTTTTAAATTTAAGTTTTAAATGTTCTAATCTAGTTAAAATATCGAGTATCCCAAGGCATCGAGAGCTGATTATGATCTTGTTTTGTTAATTAATGTCTAATCAATAATTTAGATAACATTTCGGACCCAAAGAAAGGCCTGCAATAGGCAGATTTAGCTCGTGCATAACGTATGTTTCACTTTCGTGTTATTATGTTATCAGTTTAAACCATTTCATTATTCACCATCGATCATGTTATAAACATAATGTATAATATTCAATACTTGAATACTAGCCAGGACAAACTAAATTGATTTTTTTTAAAACACTCATATGAATCCAAACAACACTTTTATAAAAGGATCATAATCAATCCCATCGTCGTAACGTATATATACGGTAAGATTTTTTTATCACGAACCTTATAATGACATATTGCTGTTGTGTTTATGTTATAATCTTTTAATTTATAGTAAGTCCAGGGGGACTGCACCCCACACAATTACACAAAACATCTACGGACAAGACACAATAATCACAAACAAACGTACATATCGGATTAAGTGCCCACCGCGCTGTACATTCCCGGGCCGGTAGTGATACAGACTTCACTCAAAAATGAAAACTAGCTATACGCAGGAATATGTCCCAAAAATGATCAGACTCAGGGGTGGGCTGAGAGGGAACCTGTGTGTATAGTAGTCCCGGTATCCCTTAAAGAAGTTTGCTTGTCAGGGTACCGTACCCTTTTTAGTCTGGAATTTACGTAGTTTTGTTTATGTATTGGTAAGACTGTCATTTGAAATATTATCTGATTGATGGTTTACAGTCTTTGGCGACGTGGCTATACCCTGGATATACTCTAGAAAACATCATTTACAGTTAGATTTTCAAAAGAAGTATCCACCCCCCCCCCCCCCACACACACACACACCACCCCCCGCCCACAAAGCCCACCCATGACCAGAATTATGTTTCGTGTATTTTTCACGTTGAAGAAAGATTAAGATTTTCTATACACCACGGAAACTATACATATTATTTAACATTATATTAAATTTTAATATTGTGATCGTGTATAAGCTGCTAAATATGGTTTCCGGGGGCTTACGTGTACAGTTAAAACAGCTAAACACCTTTGATTTAGGTAAAAGTAAATGTCGTTTAGCTAAGGATCGGTTCAAAAGTGCAATAAAATGGGGTTTAACGTACTACTTCTCTGTAACAAGCGGCCCCTTCAAGACGGGAATACGTCATGCTATGTATGGAAGAGATTTAAAAGTTAAAATACGGGTTATCGTGTAATGCATGAACGAAAAGTATTTATTTATTTATCCATCTTTCAATATATTACTTATTCCCTGGCACATTCATAATTGCATGATTTATATGAGATTAAACACTCTTTCGTTTGAGAAAAGAAATATGTCGCTATCAGACAAAACCTAATTTCTGAAAATAGATTTTCCGACATGGTTTCCCCTTGTCAGTCGTGCAGGACGGATGGCCTGACAAGGACAGCTGTCTAATCGTTCGGATGGGACGAAAAACCGAGATCCCGTGTATACATTGGCGTGCACGTAAAAGATCCCTTGATAGCTGGAATTCGATATAAGTATATGCCATTTTGCCGCTGCCCGGGCAAAATTTCCCCCATAGCACACTGTATGGCGTATGCCCGTCTTCATTAGCCCAGTCGGAGCAGAACAGTAGGACGTACCCATTTCATTTCATTTTGTTATTAAACGAGGATAAGTTATATCGTATAACTAAAAGTCCCACAGTTGTACATATTATTGGTTATTCTTTTGGTTTAAGAACTCTTTAAAAACAAATGCACATAGTTAAAATTATTTATAGATTTACATTTACCGCCAGTGTTTTAGTATTCATAATATATATATATATATATATATATATATATATATATATATATATATTATTGACATTTAAAGACATATGGTACTTATTTAATATTCTTCATAGTCCGAACCCGGCCATTTTATTATTGCAACATCTGGATCCCGTGTTCAATAAAATTATTTTATTTCAGTTCAACCGATTAATGTATATCGTAATAAGAGAGTACAATTTCTTGCCATATTAAGGTTCCTCATACCTATTGTTCATGATGGGTACGAGATTGAATTGATCTTGTTAAGCAGAAAGTGAAGACGACACACCTTCTTTACCTAATATGAAATAGAAAAAATGTAACTTACGATTTCGTATGCAAACTGTATTTACCAGGGACGTTTCTAACAAGCAGTGGTTTTATTAAATGATATATTCAGCGGAATGACAGCATGTAAAATCATTTTTATCCTGTGTTTTCAGATGAGGAAACAGTTGTTTGCAGTATTGTTGTTGTTAGTTATATGTTTTATTTATCTAGCGTAAGTATGTGTTATTTTATTCTGTCCGGAATCTTGTGTTGAGCAGAAAGAAAATGACTGATCTCACTAAATATGAGCTGCTGTCTATATTAAAGTTTTTCAGTGACATTGATGTCTCTTTTGTGAAATATCGGGCTTTAAAGTGGGTTTTTTTGGGGGGGGGGGTTTTGGGTTTTTTTTAAATCCGTTCGATCTGAACTGACATGATTCGGAAATCAGTGATTTAAAGACGAAATCTCAGAAAGATGTCCGTGAATAAAATGAAATGAAATAGGATTTAACGTCCTATTGCTCTGCTCCGACTGGGCAAACGCCAATGTGTACACGGGACGTCGGTTTTTCGTCCCATCGGAACGACTAGACAGCTGTCTTGCTCGGTCCTGCGCCACTGAACGTCTCAGTGAACTTTCTCGGCCAACACCTGGAGCGAACCTGTAACCTTTACACTAGCATCTGACCCACTTAGCCACTGTGGCTCCCAGTGATAAATGGAACGGTTAAACACTGAAAACATAATGTATGTTTCACAAACAAACATATTGTTATCCAAATAATTGTATCCAAATAATTGTACTTTTATCTCAGTGTTTGGTGATATTGGTCCAAAGTATTCGGTCATCAAGAGAGCTGAAATGAAATGAAATGGGGTTTAACGTCCTACCTTGCTCCGAACTGGGCTAATGAAGACGGGCATACGCCATACAGTGTGCTATGAGGGAAATTTTGCCCGGACAGCGGCACTACGGCCTACTCTTATATCGAAATACAACTGGTAAGGGATCTTTTACGTGCACGCCAATGTGTACACGGGACCTTGTCAGACCCTCCGTCCTGCATCACTGACAAGGGAGAACCACACCTTAAAATCTGGATGAACTTTCTCGGTCAATGCAGGGATCGAACACCCGACCTCCAGGCTAGCGAGCCAGCGTCTTACCCACTTAGCCACGTGATCCCCGATCAAGAGAGCTAATTGGAATAGCGATGCATTGATAATCACATAATTTGTCCGCTATCTGAAACCCGAAACAAATAAAAAAAAACACAAAAAAACACAAAAAACTGCCATAACTCCGCTCACAATAACAATTTGGATGAAATATTCAATATATTCATTTCTCGTAACTAACTTTTTTCCTAAATCTCAGTAAATATATTTCATTAATTGTTGGATAAAGAATTAAATATCGATTAGATGACTATTATTCGCGCTTATATTTATTGGTAAAAAAAAAAATTAATAGGGGCTTATCATTTTACAACTCTGGGCATAAACAAATCTTTGATTTAAAAAACAATACAATCTTGGTTACGTGATTTGTTTTGGTATGTTTACGCTCCAGAATTGAAGACTTTTTGAGTTCTTTTGATAATAATATTCGTTACTAACAGGTTTTTGAAATATACGTACATGTATATAACTTTTAAAGGGCCAATCCCGATAATATTTTGGAGAATAAAACTGCTTAATTTGTGCTGAATCCCTTAAAATCCTCTACCTTAGGGCCGAGCAACTAACTCAATATATGTGATACGTTTTCAATCAACTTAAACCCGTCAGTATTTATCTGGAAATGGAGACCGGTGTCCCAAGCTGTTGTCTGGATAAAACCAGCCTTTTTTATATAAAAATAAAGTGTAGGTGAAATTTACCTTTCGTTATCAAGTACAGCACACGAGTCATTCAGCGTATAGACCTCTAAAGAAACGGGAATCGATCATCAGGTCACCCCCCAAAAAATTGACCCGAAATCTCAAAAGGGTTACTTGTCTGGATAAGCAGTTTTGACGTTCACGTCCAAACGAATCAATATTTTGAGCTGAAATTTTGAGACAAGGTAAATACACCACTTCTTTATATTTTGGCGCTTAAATTTCATATGTAATCGCACTTTTGCTTTTGAGACTCTGTTCAAACCAGGATAGTCCCTTTAACAATACATTTAGTTTAGACATTAATTAGCTATGCGTTGAATGCTTAGGTAAATGCAAATAGCTTCGTTTAGATGGTTTTATCGACAAAAATAAATATTATTTATTTACATAGGATCTCTGTTGATAAAAAGGGTGTTTAAAGGTTGTGTATACCGATCAGAGTTATACAGTCTATTCAACCCAATGTGGACTTCACTTGACTTCACGTTGTGTACATATTTATATTTAAAAGAATTATATTTCTAGCTACCAGCAAATTGCACAGCAACTTATTAAATATGGCTGGCCAACCATCTTTTTGGGCGCTGCTATCGTTCAATATGTGTGGCCCTGTCTCTTGCACGTGTACTATGTAAGATAACAACAGCAGCGAAGAAACTGGTCATACAAGGGTTGAATAACAAATATTACATAATATCCTTTTAGTTAGAATTTAATTTCCTCAAGGGATTAAGCGGTACCAAACAAATGATAAGATAAAGCTACTGAATAGAAACTAACCCCAGGACCAAAAGGTTACCAGAAACTTATTTGTCATTAATTCATTTACCTTTTGGAAAATCGTTATTATTTTATTTTCAGGTTCAACAGTAAATACGCATTTAAACAAATTATAAAGTTTACTTCTGGTGAAACAAAGGTTCAGGATAAAAAACGTTTCAAGTTCCAAACATTTAATAAACGAAATCTACAAGGTTACGGAAATCCTGCTTCATACCAACGGTTGCTGTTGCAGATGTATAATTTCCCTGCTAAGAATTTTGTTAAGGTAGATGATAAAATGGCGGATGAATATTTTATAGAAAATGAGGAGAAATTATTGGCTGATCCTCCATTAGTGAAAATAGAAGACATATCAAATCCCAAATATTCGGTGCTCACAACAAAACGTGTTTATTATGTCTTGGGTGAAACAATAGACATTTTAATACAGATGAACAATGGGTATCAAAAACCCAAAACGCGTGGTGGTGATGACGTGAGAGTATGGATGGCGAATAGTGATTCATCATGTGCAGCGGAAGTAACAGATCTCAACAATGGAACGTATCGTGCAAGGCTGAAAGCTCTTTGGTCAGGAGAGGCTTCCATACAGGCTGCCCTTGCCTTCTCCCGCGAAGAAGCGAGAGTGCTTTTGGACAATCGTCGAAAATTGAAAGTAATGAGATATTCAATTGCAAAATATGCAAAAAATGAAGATAGTGGGGAATTAACTTTCTGTTCGCCGTTTTCTGATATACCTTTAGTCCACGATGTATGCAATTTTACTAAATTGAACTCCAACCCTTATTACTGTGGCGTTCCGTATTCCCATAATTTAAACTGTTCTGATTGGAAGGAAGTTTATACGGTTCGATACAGTAAGCAGGTTATGACAACCCAAGAAAGAAAGCTCTTGTCGCGGTAACGTTTATTTATCATATCCTTTGGGTTTGCTCGACTTCAATTTTTCGTGATAAGGTGTCGTTATTTCCTATACTACGAGTTCATCATTTAGATGATACTATCTGCTAAAGGCTAAATATCAACAACTTGAAGGAGTATTGCTAAATGCTAAAATATAAAATCCCAGATGTTTTTAATGCATGCTATGCGCCATGGAGACATATAAACTGTATTCAAAATATTATTTAAACTAAATGACTTGTCGAGTTGGTCGAATCATTAATATAGTATTGGCAGAAATAAAACGATGTTACACTTTTAAAGATAAGAAACGCCCAAGAATTACACACGAGTTAAGCTTCTGCTAAATGTAATATTTTGATTTTTCAGAAAAAGTCGTTTAATAATGTTTAAAGATTCCATTACAGTGCATATAGAGAATGGTAAGTTAAAATTTTAATACAGAGCTGACGATCGTGTACGGAAATGGGATTTAGCGTTTAACGTCCTACTGTTCAGTGCCGACTCGGATAATGAAGTCGGGCATAACGCCATACAGTGTGCTATGTGTGACATTTTGCCCGGACAGCGGCGCTACGGCCTACTCTTATATTGAATTCCAACTGCCAAGGGATCCGAACGACAAGGCAGCTGTCATTGTCCAGGCCCTCCATCCTGTACCACTGACACAGGGAAACCACGTTGGAAAATTCCTATGAACACCGAGAGTGAACCCGCGACCTGCATGCTAGAGCGCCACCATGGCTCCCCATTGAACAATTTTAAAACTTGTACTAGACTAACCAGACGTGAGCGACTGCTATTCAATTTGGACTTTTTACTTATTCTTCGAAGAAAACTGATTATAATTTACAATAAATTTTTTTAAAAAATGAATGTAAATCAGTTTAAATAGATTCATATAACTTCTGCTTTTTGACACATTTTCGTACATATTAGGGCCCAAAGAATAGATATGTACTTCCTTTAAAAAAAATTAAAATTCGTGTCTTTGATTTTTTGTTTTGTTGAGTGTTTTGGGTGTTTTGTTTTTTTGTTATTCCGTTTTTGTTTTGTTTTTTAGGTCCCATGATCAACTTGCCAAACTGTAGTCACATTAAGAAATCGCTTACCTGGACAGACACGGCCCCGAGAGGGCACTTTAAGAAGCATATCTGGTACCCCTCGTATTGCCAAAGAACGATAACCCCCCGCAGCTTGCGCAGATGTATTACCAATACAACAATAACCTTAATAGGGGATTCTACTGTTAGACAGTGGTATGAATCTATTATTAAAATAACGAACTGTTCCAATGACATATATGACAGTGTGTCTAAAACAAAAAGGAGTGGAAGAAGGTGTTTGGACAAGGAGTTAAATTACAAAGTTACTTTTGGCCTTCACGGCTTCCCATATTCTGTTGCAAATTCCATGGATGCGATTGCGAATATTATCAGTTTTCAAAAACGACTGGAAGCGATACATGTTCAGGGAAAACATTTTGTCATTCTTCATATGTACTTGCATTTCTTGTTTTTTCATACCAGCATTTTTGTGTCGCAAGTTAGATCCCTAAGGGATACAATAGTAAATTTGTTGAAAAAGGAACCCCATGTGAAAATCGCTATCAAAGGTCCGCATGCATTTTATGACGCTGACAATAAACCTATAGTAAAGAATGACTATTTAGGAAAGGTGTACATACATATACTAAAGACAGAGTTGTTTGAACTTAGAGACAGGATATGGTTTATGGATTTCTGGGATATGTCTGTTTCCGCAAAGAATTACCCCATACATCCCGCAAAATGGTTCGTCAATGAAAATGTTAAACTTTTCTTTGACTATGTTTGTTAATTATAAAATCATTCTACATACAATCATCTATTTAGGAAATGATTTCAATATACAGAGTATGTATATACTTAATGTCTCTGATTATCAAAGGGAATTGAAATGAAATGGGGTTTAACGTCCTACTGTTCTGCCCCGACTGGGCTAATGAAGACGGGCATACAGTTTGCTTTGAGGTAAATTTTGCCAACTGCCAAGGAATCTTTTACGTGCACCCCAATGTGTATATGGTACCTCGGTTTTTCATCCCATTCGAACGGTCTCCAACGCGATATGTCCGAAAATGTTTCACTTACATCCTTTGCAGGCGATTTGAATGGGGTGTGGTCAGAAATCGTTTGACGACTCTCTTTTTAATCAAAGGGTGGGGGTCAAGTGTCATGGTTTCCATTCCCCGCTTGTACGTTACAAGGAGTAGGATCACCTGTGTAACCTCATGAGTTTTTTCCGGGTCCTCCGGTTTCCTTCCATTTCTAAAGACACCTACGCGCAGGCGAATTATTGAAATAAATTGAACCATATGTTAGTCCCGAATTTGTGTCGAGCGGACGTTAAACCCTCTCTCCCTCTCTCTCTCTCACTCACTCTCTCTCTCTCTCTCTCTCATCAGATTGCATATAAGCCTGGTGTTTATTCCACCTCCAATATATTGATTCTGTTTTCTTAATGAACTGTTAAATAATTAATTTTTGTAATTTTCGCGTGGATTAAGCAGTGAAAAATTAGATATTGTACGATTGTGCAAATTTTAAAGGTTGACGAAGGGGTTTAAAAAATACACAGCACGAATGTTTATTATTTAGACAAATAAGAACTAGATGCAAAAAGATTATATTTATTATTAAATTAATAAAATCGTAACAAGTAAAGCTTTTGACGTCCATATAAGTGGATACAAAATGAAAATGTCATTCATCTCAGACGTACAAAAAATCAATCTAATTTATTTTTAGATCAGGGATAAACTCGACATGTCCGTGTACAGACATATGATACGATCCATCCATAGTCAAAAGACAAGCAAGTTAAATGAAATGAAATGAAATGGGATTTAACGTCCTACTGCTCTACTCCAACCGGGCGTAAAATGCTAGAAATTACAAATTAATTCATCTTTCGTCGATGTTGAATGACATAAATATCGTCCAATTTAGACAATATGTACATGGGTCGATTTTCTGACCCATCCGAACAACTAGAAACACATTTCTTGTCAGATTAGAAGCCGAACATCGCTTTAAGTACTGAAGGGTTTCGTGTTTGAGACAGAAAAGGCTGACCTTATATGAAATAAAATAAAATCGGGTTTAAGGTCCTACTTTCTGCACCAACCATCGAATTCCTGCGTCAAGTGTTCTTTTACGTGTACGCCAACGTGCGCCACGGAACCTCGTTTTATTGTTCGTACCATCCGAACAACGAGACACATACCCTCCGTTCTACAAGGCGCAACCACTCTGGGAAATCCGTAGAACTTTCTCGGCCAACACTGGGATCGAATCAGGGGCCACTGGTTAGCGAAGCCCACCCCCCTGTATGCATATGGAGAGGTTACATTCCAAAATAGACCCGTCTTCAGACCTTGTGTTCTACCGCGCACGCGTTAAACCATTCAGACCCCCTCCTCCCTCCCATTTTTATACTATTGTATATACTATTGTATTAATATTGTTTTATATTCTCGGGTCCCAGATGTATTTATATCAATGAATATGGTAGATATGTTAATAGTTGTTTATTTCAATTTATCATAACCAGGAAACATGTTTTCGGATTATGGTAATAAGTCTGACTTTATAAACATTTGGTTTTGTGGTTTATTGGTAAGATTTAGGATAAAGTTGTCAAGGTTTAGATAGATATCTGATTGTAGGTATGGTTACATTTAATACATGTTAACTGATGGTTCTGGTGTGTAGGTGGTTTACATGGTAGGGGAAATGAAATGGGATTGAACTTAAACTTGAACGTCTTACCATTCTGTCCCAACCTGTTAATAAGACCCAGTAAATATAGCCCTGACCTTTGCGCTTCGATTTCTAGGTATCAGGGGTTATTTAACATTGCCACAATATAAAACTACCCTTTTCCAATATATGAACATCTGTTTTGTAGCAACGTTATTTACGATAACTATTTATGTTATACAAAAACGCCCCAATTCAATATGGACCATATTTACTAAAATTGTAAGTCGATGTTTAAGCATCGCTGAACCTCATTTTTCTGAAAACTTGCAGGAATATGGCTGGAGCCGTTGATATATTTGATTAGCAATCAATAACCCCTGGAACCTGGAACTACTTTTACGTCTATACCCGGCTACTAACCTTGAAAACGTTGAGAAAATAAGTCAAGAACAATTTATCCCCACGGTCCCAAGATGACTAACATGTACGATCTCTTTCTATTAATAGCCCAAATCTATTTACAAATGATATAATTTTGGCATATTTTGAAGGCACCATAAACATGTATGTATTAGTATATCGACAAAATAATTAGAATGGAAAATAGTTGTAAGATTAAGACACGGCAAGGAAGATTATGTGAAACTGCTAGGTTAGTCGGACGAGCACAAGTTTTACAGCACGATGGATCACAGTTCCTTGTACCGTTATTGGTAAACTGTAAACAGCCATTGATTCGGTCACCATATTCACAGCCTGTAAAACAAAGCAGACATCTTAAAACTATTATCAATTAAATTAATTCATGTGATATTGATTTCAATGTTAATTGTTTAAAATCAAAGATCTCTCGAAATTAGTCAATCAGTCGTGGCTATTTACAATCAGTGAATAATCTTCGTAGCATATTGAATGATTTTCGAAATGTCTGGCCCTTTCGATGTTTTTATGATATTAGACAGCCACAGGAGATTAGGCTGAGATTTAAAGAGTCTGGGATTTCTGGCAAATTTATAAGGGATTGTGTTCCTGATTTAAAGCTTAATCATTTTAACTTTCTTTCGAAAGTGTGCTTAAACACATTACCATCTATCATTATCTCTAACGTATTTAACAATAAGCGATATAGAAAGGCAATATTATTCCAAACAAAATTTCAGACACACAGATTGTCCATCTAATGTCAGGTTTCGGACAACTGAAAGTGACCATATTCTGAATATTTTCATAATATCGTTTTGATAGATGTCTAAATAATACACAACAGTGAAAATTTAATGAATGAAATTTAGATTTTTGGGACGTCCGCTTCAGTCAGGCTATACTGCACCAAACATGGTGAAAAATGAGGCTAAATAAATGTCACAAAGCAAATTAAAAATACACACCCGTTTTTGCAGTATTACGTACACTTTCACAACTTTTACAGCAGATATGAGCGAATGAGGTATTATAACAGAAAATATAACCATTTATAGCAATGTTAGATGTGCACATATTTTCATCTTGGTCAATACATTTAAACTCAGATGTGAGCTTACATGTTCTACAGCATCTATAAAAATATTAATTTACATTATGCCTTTTCTTAATCGGTTTAAAATTCAATAACCATGTCGGGAGATAAGAGCTTTGTATGGTATATAATCATTTATCCAAACAAAAAGTTCTACCATAATTACAAAGGAATTGGAATTACAAAGTTTATCTAGATTTGCGAGGTGCTGTTATCTATGGGTCTTAAATCACTTAGATCCAATTCGCTGTTTACTAAACCGGGCTCTGGAACTTTATACAAATCACCCACGCCTAAGAATGTCTCGACTTTCCGCGAGATATATAATAATTTTAAGTCGTCACAAAATGGAAAACAAAGGCCCTGGCTGGTTAATGTTAATGTCCTGTTTTTGTTCTACTTTGATACTCCCACATTTTAAAGTGGTAAAAGATTTTGCGCAATTTATCAACAATGTTTCAGGTTAGTATCCATTCATTACGAAATCGGATCTTAATTTGTATTTTTATATTTACTTCATACTCCTCGCAGTGTTCCGTTTCTCGGGCCATTGCTTCAGGAATATGTATTTACTTACCCTTTATTATAAATATAGCCATCTGGTTCGACTCGATTACACCCTTCTTCGACACACCCTTTTATACTGTCGCCATATTCACAACCTTGTGGAAAAGAGTTAGCCATTTGTTTTTATTGACATTTAACAATAAACAAAGTATCCCGTGGGTAGTGTTTCTAATCCATATATATGTAAATGCAAGAAATATAATTTAAACCCATGTTAAATTCCTCGTCGGGTTTGGAGATTTATTTTTTTTAAGTAGGAAACCCGGGATTCAAAAAGTGTTCAGAATTACTGTAGCAATTCGACTTAATCGTTTGCCAAATCTACGTTGATACCGCCAATTCGACCCCAACCTCAATTTATTTGACCAAATCTGACTAATCACCTTCCAGATATTGTCGCCCTTTGTCATAATGTGCTAAACCAGTATAGCTATAGTGCAATCAGGCAATTACATGTTGGGTCTGTGAACAAAATGTATGTTATATATACTCTTCAATATTTTCTTTGTGTCATTGAATCATTGTATATCGAAGTGTTGCGTTTAGAAAAGGTAGAATATTGTGAAATACCCTGAACTGATGATTTTACTTCATTACAAGAAGCACAGCAACCCCGTATAACTGAAGGTATGTAACAGATTCCAGCCAAACTTGAAACGGCAGATTGACAGGTATAAAGATCCCTGGTTGCTTCTCCGGCTTTTGATACACTTAGAACTATTCTATGTTGGTCAAAGCAATCTGCAAAGTACAATATAATACGGTTATTCGACCGACAAACCCCATTTTATGTTAATAGACACCAGGAAATACGTGTGCAGACTTCATTTTTATAATGAAATAATTCCACGATAAATTAATGAACTTATTAAAAGTGGATTGAAATCTAGTATTTCAGCTATTCATGACTACAAAATGGAGTTTACTTTAATATTCGTAGAGGGTAAAATGACCCGATGTTTTCAATAACAAATACATTTTCAAGCTGGTCCGATTGTTCTTTCAAATCGATGAAAATGTATATTGGGCCGCAATAGAAACGCAACTGTTTGCAAGCTGGAATTAAACGAGGCAGCATGATATACTTTGTTTGAATGGATAATTAATCCGAAACAACGCCCTTAAAAATATGTGCTTACACAGCTAGTCATGATGAGATGTTCGCAAAGATTCTTAGAGGAATAACATTGGAATTATTACATAACTAGTGCTCAATCTGGTGGGGACACTGTAAAAAAAACTACTGAAGCCTGACCATCCATAGTCAGGTTTCTATCACCCCGATCTCCCAGCAGACCTACCATCTTCAACCATTTGATTTACTCCATTTATCGTGGACATTAATGATGGATACCGACTTTAATTTAAATGGAAACAGATCTGGTCAGTATTGGACATTGTGATCTTTTACGATGTATCTAACTGTAAATTCAAGAATTGCGATTGTTTTTTGAGCGCATCAAGAACAACAATATTTGAAACATGTTTTCTCTGAATTAACTAGTCGGAATTATTATACGTAATGGGTACCCAGCTTTCTTTCCACTACCATAAACTACATTCTGTAGATGACCGGAGGTAGCGATGCTAGAGTTTGGTTGGTTCATACTATAATAGAAACTAATCAAAATGTTCAAGATAGAACTAGTCTGTGTTTGCAAAGACTAAACTGTCGCAGATGTCCGGTAAGATAGTATTCAGCTCACCTGTAATGTTAGGGGCATTGTTAGAATATTTGCATTCGCCATTTAAACACCACTGAAAAGACAAGGCTATGTGTCAAATTTAACATTAATGTTGGCACAGCACATGCCTTCAGACGATAGGAAGAGTGTAAACTAGATCTAAAGGAAGTAATTGATTAACTTTCGCGTAAGATGTTAGGTAGATTATTCCAGAGTTCTGGTCCATGGGCATTACTAGTAAACTGTCCTTGGTGTTTCTTGAAGCTTGGCAAGAGTGTATTTTAGTATCATATAGGAAGGGACATTGTCAGAAAATAGTGATTTATACATACAGTTGCCAAAACCTTATAATCTATTCTCGCCAATGCAACTCTTTTTAATTTCTCGGTAATGTGGTCTCTTGATGAAGTTCGTGTTACCTACCAATCGAGTTGCTGGGCAACTTAAGTCGAGTTTATGAATATTGATGAACACGGACAAAACACGCATTTGCATAATCTACAAGTTGGTTGTGGTTTAATCTAAATACATGAAATCAATCTGGTTCAATTATCAAAAGACCAAACAGCGGATGTTGCACCGACAACATTCATAAAACAAAATTATTATAGGAAAATAACTATAGATTTATGCAAAATGCGCCTTAAGAATAATTATTCCTGATAATGGAATGGTATTCGATCCTAATGTATCAAAAGGACTCTTTATCCACACAATGCATAAATAAAATGTGGTTTAACGTCCTACTTTTCTGGGCTTACAGTATGCTATACGGGAATTTTTTGCCAGACAGCAATTGCATTCCAACTGTCGAGGACGTGTTCATGAAGCCGCGGTTTTTTTCCCATCCGAACCAATATTTACTGTCCCTGCAGACTAATCTTGCATTATGACAATACAGGGGTCAAAATCGGGACCTCCAGATTAGCGACCCAGTGCGGTTTTCTCACAATGAAACATTTATACAGACTAGCTGAAATAAACAGGGATGGTTTAGGTTACAAGGATAATGCATGGTTTACGTTTATCTTACCATTTTAGATGCACACGACGAGCCTGTAGCTGCCGTTTGAGAAATACAGTCAAATGTCTTAGGATCAAAACAAGGCAGGTTTCTACAAATGCCCGATAAATTACCACGATTCTATAGAAAAAAAACAAGACATACGGTTACAACATTTTTGTTAATATTTCTTTAAAACCATAAAATATATATTGTCTTTAATTTATGTCCTTTGCGGTTTGTTTTTTCCATATTTGGGTAAAATTCTTAACACATCTGAACTAATGTAAACACAAGTTGTTTGTGTGTTATTGGTTTTGTTTCTGCTTAATGCCTTCTGATGAAGGAGAACACGGACTCTACCTGACAATAAAAAGATTCAGCTCCATGTAACTGGCGACACTGGTCATCTAAACTGTATACCTGTCCAGACATATCACTTATATCCGGTACAACGCTTGATGAACTCAATATTTCTGTTAAACAGTTTACGCTGAAAAATGAAAATATATCGCCTAAACATTTCGGTCTTTGTTACCAACGACGTAACAATTTTATTAATTAACATGAAAATGGTGTTATTGATTCATAACACAAATTAAGCCTTGCGTTGGGTAAAACATACTACATGATACATCTGCAGCTTACTGTGTCCTTAAAATACATATAGCAAATGAAGTCTTTGGATCCCCTTTTCTGAAACAAAATAGCATATGCTTATAGTAAGCTTGATTAAGCGAAGGTAAAAATCGAGACGGCTGTATCCAAATATTTTATAGGTAAATTATACAGTGATTACTGGTCACAAATACATAAACAGATTACTTCTCCGTGTAGTATTTAAGCTTTTGAAATCGTATTTTCATTGTGGTATTAGTTGAACAGTTTTCACTTGGTGCAAGATCCCTTAACAGCCAGAATTCGAATACGAGTATGTAGAAACGCTACAATATATCTCACACTTAATCACAGATATAGAAATTATAACGTGTTGGTATAAGTTTAAAAGAAACCAAGCTTACAATGCAGGGCAGCCATTTGCTTAAGGTATTATCTACAATCTGTTCCATAAATTAAATATTGGCACTCAACAAAATAATATATAAATGTACGAACCTCTTTATAGAATTAACCGAGTCGACATATTGTTCTATGGCGGCAACAGAACACGACGAAAAATACCATGGATTCAGCTTATTTGCAGAACTTTCGGTTTGAATGGAACCCGCCATTATATAGCGATCTGTATCGTTGCACCCAGCGTCACTATCGTGTAATGACCCCAAACTGAAACAATTAGTAATAGGATAATATTTAACGTGAACAGTGTTTAATTACCATAACTCTGGACCATATAAATATACCCAATTGCCATCCATTAAGGGCTGGGGTGGGGCGGCCTAATGGTCTAGAGTATCGCGCTTCGAGCTCTAGCTGGTCGGCCACCTCTCGCAGAGATTAGAATTGCTTTTTACACTCAAGTCATACATCCGTTTCTGCTCAATCTTTCGTGTGGCAAGTTTTTGTTTGACTTAAATATGACATGATCGTGCAATTCGCTCGAACTAGATCTTCATCCATTAGAATCAGAATCAGTATCAGCGGTGGCAATCCCTGAACCGTCGCCTACAAATTGGTGTTGACAACATCTTTGGTTGCTTATAATTGCTTGAACAAGCGAAAAATAAAAAGCTCGTGTGTGCTAGGCTTTAGTGTACTATAGGCAAATATAAAACACAAAATCTTGGTTAGAGGTCATTTTGACCTGGATGTTCGTGGATTGAAGTGAGTGGTTTAACTTTAAGACATAAATAGATGACGGCATGAATTCAATTGAAAGTTATAATTAATTCAACAGAAAGTTATAGCAACTTAAGATGAAAATAGCTTATATATTAGAAATGATCGATTTTATTAAATGTAGTGTTATTATGGTTTTTAATGTGATAATTGTAAAGTGCATGAACTGAAAGTACATAAATAATTTAGTCTGGATTATGGAACCTTTAAAAGGACATAATCCTTTGAGATGTAGTCGAATTAAACTTATAATCATAATGCTGCGTTGATTTCTAAAGATTCATTTTCACCCTTATATTGAATTGTGTCTATCATATTATATAAGATGTCCTTTGGATTTATTATCGAAACACCAAGCACTGACCTACTAAGAGATAACGAGGTTTAACGTCCACTCGACGCAAGCTAGGTTATTTCGGGACTAACACATGGTTCAATTTTATTTCAATAATTCGCTTGCGCGTCGGGGTCTTTAACAGTGGGAGGAAACCGGAAGACCCAGAGAAAACCCACGAGATTGGACAGGCGATCCTACTACTTGCCACGTACAACAGGGGAATCGAAACCCCGCCAGTTGACTCAATATGATGCAGCGTGCACGTGCTAACCATTCGGCCACCCAACCCGTCTGACCTACTAAGAGAGAGATATTTTTCTCGCGCGTTTATAATCGAAAATAAGAAGTTAAACGTTAATATTTCATTAATTTAAAACTGTATAGTCAGATCAGGTCACGACAAGAAAACACCTGTATATTTACCAACCGACGATGGCGCCAAAATTGCCAATGCCGCTTTGAAACATTGAAGTCCGTAAAATAAGTCTTATTTTCAGAGATACAAATTGTTCCTTTGAACAAAAGCAAAGAAATTAAAATCTAAAGACAAAACATTGAACGCCGCTGACCTTACCAAATTCTCATAACTACGACTGTATGCGTGACCAATGTTAGTTTTAAACCCTTTCATTTCTTACCTATGTCCCATTTCATGAGTAGCTATTGCTACAGTTTTCGAAATACCCCTATCTTCTACAACTGAAAAACTCTTATCAGTACACATACTTTCAACAGGGGCCCTGCCTGTAAATAAATAAAATGTAGGAATAAATTGTGAATAGAGAACCATGATAACTGTTCTTAGATATATACCCCACCAATATTAAACATGCATTATGCAAGAGCTAAATCTGCCTATTGAAATGTTATCTAAATCATTAATTAGACATTAATTAACTTATCCAGACCATAATAAACTCTCGATGTCATCGATAGCCTGTGATGTTTATTGGATTTGGTTCCGATTTGCTGTTCGACTTTTATTCATGATTTAATCATGAAATGGATAATCGAGATTATGTGTTTTATCGTACTTAGTAATGATGATCGAGGCTAGGTTGGAAATTAAATCGCTAAAATCTCGGTTCAGAGTGGATCAATTTGACTAAAATTTTCACCAAATTCCCTTTACATTATCTAGGTTTTAACTATTATGGTGAGAACTGCCAGCTCTTTATCTAATCTCCCATAATGTATCTTTAAGCATTCTGTTAAAACATAATACTATTTTTAATAGGGGACATTTTGTATGTGTTAAAGCTATATCATTCTTGAATACATTTCATATTTTCAAGACACGAAGAATAAACTGACGATCATAAGAAAGTTCACCAAGTCAGTTTAGGCTTACTCGTGTGGCAACTGCCACTATCAATGATGTTCCTCTCCACCTTGTAAACTACATTCGCACGAGTGCTCAACTCAAAAAGTGTAAAATTAAACCTTAATACGGGTTTTAATAGTTTTCCCTCGTGAATGTAAATTAAACATTACACGTTACCTTTGTATAATTTACTATATTGTAGTGCAGTTTCAGGTGTTCCAGAATAAAGAGCCTCGTACATGACACAGGTCACTAGAGTCTGGTTGATCGAGATGTAACGATTATATTCAGCGATCAAATGATAACATGATTACCTTCTGTACTGGAGTCAGTGTCTGTCAGATCATAACCCGTGAATAGAATTGCATGGTCATGATCCATAAGCAACTTCTTAGATTTCCACCTTTCAAAATTTTGCAGCATTAGTTGTGCAGGAAACTGGGTTGAGTCAGTCGGCACTATCCACCCAGATGTTTCAACAGACTATAATATATACATATATTCGTGATAATATATATAAACATTGAATAACATGATTAATTTTGCGTGCGTTGTTTAGGAAGCCAAAATGTTCTATGCGCAATGAATAACTAATTTTAAAAAAAAAAATAGCGCTCCAAATGTATAGAAATCTATTACTCAATCAAAGCAAATCCGTATACACAAATCCTTGAAATAATAAATGAAGATTAACTACCTAACTTTAATAAATGTGAGCTTAGATGTTTTAATCGTTAAGATGATAGAGGCTACTGGTTGACATAGTATACACGATATGGGTTATTGTACTTCAGTAATCTTTGCAAAATATATGTTCACCCGTGTATGACAACGTGAACTAGTTTACTTAGACATTATTTAGTGGTTTGCAGGTTCACGTTTTTTAGAGAGAGAGAGAGAGAGAGAGAGAAATGGGGGTTAACGTCCACTCGACACAAACGAGGTCATTTCAGGACTATATGGTTCAATTTTATTTCAATAATTCGCTTGCGCGTAGGGGTCTTTAGTAGTGGGAGGAAACCGGAGGACCCGGAGAAAACCCGCGAAGTTGGACAGGTGACCCTACTCCTTGTCACGTACACACGGGGAATCGAAACCACGCCAGTTGATTCAATGACAAACCTAATGGCACAACCTTTATATAAATTACTTTACAATAACACAACAAACTTACATCGGATATGAAATAGCCAACCAATTTAATTTCAAAATCCATTGTTTCACTTGCCATATTTTTATATCTTAAGTTTACCTGCAAGATATAAAACAAACTCATCATGGCAAACACACATTAGTCTCTGAGCTCCTTTGGGAAGGCCATAAACGAAGTAAAAAATGACCGTAACTTCTACATATTAAACATACATTATGCAAGAGCTAAATCTGCCAATTGCAGGTCTTTCTTTAGGCCTGAAATGTTATCTAAATTATTAATATGGCATTAATTAACTTATCCAGACCATAATCAAATCTCGATGGCATCGCTAGCCTGTGATATTTACTGGATTAGAACCTAGTCTGCTGCTTCTGATTAAATCAAAAAATGGATAATCGAGACTAGGCCCAAAATTCAATCGCTAAATACTCGGTTCAGGATGGATCAATTTGACTGAAATTTGCAGCAAATTCCCTTTACATTATTATTATTATTATTATTATTGTTCGATTTATATAGCGCTTCATTACACGTGAAGTGTTTCTAAGCGCATATCACAAACATATACTTCAAACACACAGAAACAATCAAAATCAGGAGAACATAATTAAACACAGCTGCCTGTTAGGCGCTATTATTCAAAGGTTTATATCCAACAAATCAACCGGCTAATCTCTATATTGAACTCAGTCGAGGTATTACCTGATGAACACCTACACCAAGTAGAGTTAAAAAATAAAAACGAAGTTTAAAAGAATCAACTTCATTAACAAAAATTAAACAATCAAAAACTAAACAGATAAATCAAATTCAAACGAAACAAATAAAACAAAGAAAATGAAAAAAGCAGTTCATTACCATTCTACATTAACAAAATAAAGGAAATCAACTTGTGAATATTTTTCAAAAATGTTATATAACTTAAACATAACTATCATTCACAAAAATAATACATGTATAAATTATTATTCTAAAAATTACTGACTGTTATAAAAGATTTAAATGAAACAGATTAAGCTTTCACCCCACTTAAATTTGTTGTAAATACATGTCATGTACATTATGTAAGATTTAGATAAAGAGCTGTCCGTTCCTGCTATAAAACCTCAAAAATAGATAATGCAAAATGAATATATTGAAATTTATCTCACATTACTTTAGATATTTAAAGGAGCTAAATCGCTAACATTCTCAAATAGTTTTAGCTTTCCATGATCAGTATTTATATGTAATTGTAATTTTTAATTCTAGATTAGGTCTTGGGCAAAACTGTTGTAAGACCAAAAATAAAAAAAATAAAAATTACTGATACGCACATTCCGCTTCCAGAACTATGTATTAATCAAATGAAGCTTCTAGTTTTTAACTATTATAGTGATAACTACCAGCTCTTTATCTAATCTCCCATAATGTATCTTTAACATTGAAAATAGGTTTAACTTTTTCCACTAACTATACCATTTGCGAGCGATAATGTCCCTTGTAGTGAATTGAAATGAAAATATCTTACCGCGTTAATGGCATGGGCATAGTAGGTTTTAATTTTATCGAGAGTCATCTCCCTTTTCTCGTCCGTAGAGGTAGTAGTTTCTATCTGATCGAAGAACCTTGAATGCAAAGATATGTTAGAAAGCGATATTATGATAAAACTGTCAAAAGAGCCCATTCAACTGAAAGTTGTTTGATTTTAGACTAAATCGGTCAAACGTCGTGATGCCGAATACGCCGTACCCGCCTTGTCTTCTTTGGTTTGTTTTGGGTTGTGTTTTCTTGGGGTTTGTTTGTTTTGTGTTGGGTTTTTTTTGCGGATGTGGGGGGATTTATTCAGGGAAATATTTTTACATTACCTTTGAAAAATAAGATAATCTGTTACAACCAATACTTCAATATAATAAGTTACTTTTGATGCTGCTCTCTTTAACCGTTCCCTGGGAATGTTATTTAATTCTGTAAAGAAAATAACACGAAATCAACGATTTAGCCACTTGACCCAGCAAATACACTAATATCAATTCCCCATATTGATGGGACAGTCTTACTCTATATATGTATTTGATTAATAGTATAATTATATGAAGGGTGGGGGTGGTATGGCCTAGTGGTCCAGAGTGCCGCGTTTCGACCTCTAGCTGGCCGGTCACCTCTGGTTTGCGGCTGTGGTTTCGATCATTTGTGTGAGCGTATGTGGCTTGGAGATGGGGCACCTTCTCAAACTCGTGGGTTTACACCAGATACTCCGGTTTCCTCCCACAGGAAAGACCCCTGCGCATGCGTTAAGATAATAAAAAAGAGACTTTTCTGTGATATCACCTTCGGTGGAAGCGGACGTTAAACACTAAGAACAACAACAAGTATAATTATCACATTGGTGCTCCAGACAATCTACTACATACTTCTTTATTGTTGTTGTTTATGTTTAACTTCGAATGTTAAGTTTCATTCCATGGGAAAATAATTATTTTGTTATACTTATCATCAAGGCCATTCATTACCTTTGGTATTAATATATGGTCTTTGATGATCTCCAATATATTGTAATATATGTCCGGAAGACGGGTATACGTTATCTGGTTGAAGAAAGTATCGTTTGATATTATTCAATGTAAATTCTCCATGCTGTAAAGATTTATTGTGATCGTATATATAAGTACATTCTCCAAATGATAATAATAAAGAAGTTTATCTTTGGCTGTATATATTTCATTAACTGATTAAATTCAGTATTAATTATTAGAAATATGGAGCAATGTGAAAAAATATATACACAAAGTTTGTGTACTATAGCTTGAGTATCGATGGGTGAAAAATCCGACATCAAATCTGTGCTCAATTATATTGTCTTAAAGACAGCGCAGTTATCAATTCGAAAAATATTTGGTTGTCAGTATTTTGAAATTGAACAAAATAACTACTAACGCCTGTTTTATATCGAGGTCTTGTACATCTCAAAATCATTACGATTACAGTAATTACGATTACAGTAATCGATTAACATTTCAAAAATATTTGTTCTCGATGTTTTGAAACGAAACAAAATCTGAACAATCAGAGTATTGTACATGTCATAATCTTACAGTAATTAAGTTAAAATGTGTGCCAAAGAACGTGGTAATTTTGGTTGTACATGATTTATTGTACGTATAACAAAGATCAATCAGTGACTCTGACGATGTCGTATATTGCACCTTTTTTATATAGATTTCTATTGTGGAGTTATATTATAACAAGTCTTAGTTTACCCATTTTTGTATATGTTTTTCGTCTAGATTTATACATTCTATGACAAATGCTGCGTTATATTCTCTGTTTTGGTAAGTGGCAATCACCTGCAAAATTAAACAGCAAGGACAACCCATCAGTTGGACTAATCATATGCCATATACAGGAAGATTCTTAGTATATTACTAAATTAGTCTTAAGTAATTTTGAAATATTATAGTCAATACGGAAAGCAACCCGACTCTGGAGGAGCTGGTAAGATAACCAGAAAAAGGAAGATTCGCCTGAATTGTTGGTTTTATAAATTCGAATAATTAGGATTTAAAATTGACAATTTTCAACATCTGTTGCCGCTTATTTAGCTCCTTATTTATTGAACAAGAGTAATTTAACATTTGTGTTTATTAAACACACAAGAATCAGTGGTTACTAAATATAGTACAGACCGGTAAAGGTGTGATAGAAAAAACAACTAAAGACAATGCTTACTTGCCCATCAGTGTTGGAGTACATTGCTGTGATATGTGTAGAATTTGGTTGCTGTATATACACGGGTAAAGAACTAGATATTGCACTAGATTTCCTTAAATTTAGACTGAGATGTAGGTTATCTGTCGTAATGATGATAGGAATTGTGGATGGAAAACTACAAGGATTCCCAACTTTGGTAATAACATCCACATTTCGATAAATATCATCCAATCCTATAACTCAATATAAAGGTTCCATTAAAAAACAACATCGAAAGGTAAAAAGTCTGAATATATGATAAAGTTGAAGAAAGAAAACGGGATATTAAGAAAGCAGTGTGTATTTATAGTATGTTTTATAATTGTCATGAGTAATCTATAACCTAATTCACGTATTCCCCAAAAGGAAAATTTAGGGGAATTCCCTCGAAATATGTAAATGAAACCGAATTCACAACAGATTTTACACTTTAGTTGCACTTAAGTTGTTTTATTCGTTACTACAAGGAAGTTGATGTTTGGTTTGATATCAAACATGACACGGTGATATTTTAAACGCATTCTTTAATTTTAAATTTTATTGTTATTTGTAACCAAATAGAGAAGCTTGCGTCGGTATATTGTCATTTGTATACAGACCTAACCTCTTTAAGTATAATGCATTTAGAAATGAAATAGGTTTTAGTGTCCTACTTTTCTGCACAAACCAGGCTGAAATTAGAACAGTTTTAAAGAATTGTTCCGTTGAGGTTAATTGTTTCAACTGATGCAAATTGAAAAACTTTCTTTATAATTTAAATACTGAATGTTATTATGACCCACGACAAGGTAATAAAATGGAAGAAAATTAAGGAAACATCAAACTGTTTCAAAACAGTGGAAGAGGGGGGGGGCTGAATAATTTAACGCGTGCGGTTTAGATCACAGGGTCTGTCATTGAGTCACGTGGCGTGGTGTTGAAGCCCTGCTTGTACCTGACAAGGAGTAGGGTCAAATGGCAAACCTCGTGGGGTTTCTTCGGGTCTCCAGACTGCTAAAGACCCCCTATGCGCAAGCGAATTATAGAAATAAATCGTTCCCTACATTAGTCCGGAAATGAATTAGTTTGTGTCAAGTGGACCTTAAGCCCCATTTCTCTATTTCACCCCCTCCCCCAACCCCGCTCTGTTGGTGGCTTGTATAGTGAATTTAAGAAATTGCCCTACTTGTTTGAATCAGGGATGTCAATTCTGTACATGCCTTTCGGCCCACATATGGGAGTCGCCATTTTGAAAAAATCTCCTGATACTGGCACTCTTCAGTGTGATTGGTCCAATGCGTCCTCTTGTTTGGTGGACATTTAGATGGCTTTTTACTTTTTTTTATCACCGCATATTGGTAGGAAAAAACAGCAGCTACACGACTCAATACGTGTGCATCCGGGTCCGATCACCCATTGACCTCTTTATACACTGAAATAGACACGAAGTAGACTGGTCGTGAATATAATCTTACCTTGAACACATGTAAATAATATTAATATCCAACACACTAACAATGCCACAAAACGTTTAATACATCTCCCTGTCATGCTTGACATGATGGGGGATGCTGAAATATCCTGAGTTAAGAGAGGCACCCCAAAACACTTGGACACACATTACATAATGATATCTGCATGCTTCACTTCATAGTATACAAAAGCGGATGTAAAAAGACAAGGCAGTCAAGTTACTCATGGCTAATTTTAAAGTTAGGTAAACAGTCAACCTATGATATATTAAGAAAATGACCATGATATACACGTCATTCACGTTATACACAGCACTTAGGGGCTTCTTCGATTACCAATAGTATATTGTGTTTGTTACCCGATGGAGGTCTATTGAAACGACACCACAAAGTGGGTGTGTACAGAAACTATACAAATATAAACGCGACGACTATTCAAATTGTATAACTAAATATATCTTTTTAAGTATAACACTGAATTAATGTGACAGTGAAACGATTTTTCTTATTATTATTATACTGTAGGCTGTACACTTATATCGTACAGATTACACAAGTGCACAATCAAATCGTTAAATGTCATTAAATGATTGAAAATTTAAAAGAAAGAAGACAAATACGTATATAAATTTTATTTGGGCAATTTGTGCACCTTTACATTACAATAGGACAGGTTAGTGAACCACCAAAACTGGCATGCAAGAAATGTCATTGTTTTTGCTTAAAATTTCATTCTGTCTGATAGAGTGACTATATATGCTTAATCTTTCCGGAAAACCTTGTACGAGTTCACATCATTTATTTTATTGATTATTCCAATTTTTATTTCAGTTTTAGAAATCAACTATTTAATGCCTCGATTTGTGGCTTTTGTTGGTTTTTTGATGGTTTTTTTGTACTTGATTACCTCTTGGTCTTGGCTATCTTCGGTATTTCAGTATAATAGCAACTAGGGTCTTTATGCAAAGTAAAACGCAAGTAGTTCGATTTTCGTGGCATACAGGGCTATAAAGCTCCTAAAAGGTGCAGTGTGCTCAGTACTCACTAGACCATAATGGTATATCTTATTGCAATAAATCCCGTGCGGGCAGGTGTCTTTGGCATATCCTTTTAGAAAGAGTTGCGAATATATAGCTCCGACACATTCCGGTATAGGAAATCCTATTCCCCGGTTAACTGTAGTCTGATAGAAATGAAATGGGGTTTAACGTCCTACTGTGTTCTGCACCGCCTGGGCTAATGAAGATTGGGAATAATTAAAAAGTAACGTTCCACCGTAAAGCGCTCTCAATGAAGTGCAGATCAATGCGCCTAGAATGACACGAATATGGTCTTTTATCTAACTGTAATGATATACTCTGTATAATATTTCAGGCGAATATTTGCTGTGTATAAAAAAATCAGTCAAATAGTACATTGGATATGGTGTAACTGCTACAGGACATTTATAAACGTTATTAGGGCGTAGCTATAGCAATAATATTAGCATTGTATACTACCTCTTTTCGTTATAAAGGATGTAGCGAGGTCGTTCCGTTATTGAATAGAATGGGATGTATTTAAATAGAAAACAAACTCGTCTCGATCATTTTGTCTCTCTAAAATTTAATCCATTACGTATATGTTCTCTGAGATTCTCTAGTCTGAAAATACATTTCCATGGTGTATGTATGTTATGCATTTGGGCCCTGTTTCACGAAATTGTAACTAAAGATAAAGTAGATACTTCAATTTTGATTGGCTAAGCACTACAATCAGTCTAATATTATCCAACCAAATTACTAAAATTTGGATTTTATCTTAGTTAAAATTTCGTGAAACAGGCCCCAGGTGTTTTATTTTCCTCTTCGATGAAAATGACCCCTTGGATTTCTCCTAGTATCCCGCTCTCTTTGAAAAAATATAAAAAATATGATGACCTTAAAATGATCATGTGGGGGGGGGGGGGCGTTACCTTCTCTCCTGTTTGTCTTTCAAATAAGTGATAATACTACATTCCAGGGTGTATGGCATGAAAGATCAAAGTTTAATTAGCACATGGAATTCTGTTATGGGTTATAAATCTACAAAACATCTTCTTAATCACGCGCCTTCAGAAAAAAGTCTTCTTGTGGTCCCAGTGTCAATTTCTGTGGTTCATCTGCGAGACCTGGGTTTACATGAGACAAGGAAAGAAACTTTAAAGGCAATTTCTCAACAGCATGACTTTAGTTTTAAATAAATCAGTTCTACTGATTGACACACATTAACTGAATCGCGGGATACACCCCTTTCAAATTAACACGTGTAGGGAGCCACAGTTGGGTGGTGCAAGTATGTTGGCTAAGATTTACACACATCCTAACCCAAAGTGATGTGTACAAGACTGGCCGGACTTAAAAAAAACCTACATGTTACTCACCATGACAGATAAGGGGACACGCCTAGCCAACTCGATTGCATAAGAACCATCCGATTTAGAATTGAAGTAGGGTATTTAAAAGTCCGACTTTATCATCGTATTATGTGTGCAAAAATAGCTAAAAATGGAGAAAAACTTATTTAATTGAGAGAAAAGGGGAATAAAAAAAGAAAATACAATGAAATATAATAATAAGAAAACAATCCACGCCGCTATCACTCTACGGATCCAGTTGCGCACCACTCTAACTGCCAACAAGCAATCTTAGCTCTATAATCAGAGGTCGAATTCGAGAGCATTACGTAGTGCAGGATTAAAGGGGGATAACCCGGTTTTATAAGCATTTTTCTGGAACCTGATTTAAATTGATTCGGTGTTAAATCCAAGCTTGGTCTGTAACTTAATTTTGATTATTCTGATTTATCTGATAATATAAAAATCTTGGAACGACTTGAGCAGTTAAACATGCATTATGCAAGAGCAAAATCTGCTTATTATAAGTCTTTCTTTAGGCCTGAAATGCTATCTAATTATCAATTAGACATTAATTAACTTATCCAGACCATAATAAACTCTCGATGTCAAGGCTAGCCTTCGATGTTGGCTGGATTAGGTTCCTATATGCCGCTAACGGCCAGTGATAGTTAAATCAATAAAAGTGGATAATCGAGACTATGCTGTTTATATTAATGATTTTAGTAATGATGACCGAGACTATGCAAAAATTTCACCCGCTTCTTTCTCGCTCATAGTGGATCAATTTGACTGAAATTTTCAGCAAATTACCTTTACACTATCTAGTTTTTAACTATTATAGCGAGAACTGCCATCTCTTTATCTTATCTCCCATAATGTATCTTTAAATGTCTTAATAGAAGGGTATCTAAGTATATTATATTTTTGGCTACAAATCTAAGAAAGCACACTATAATTACGTTATACTCAGGTATTACTTCTATTCTTCTGTCCGAACGGCCATTATATCAGGTGGTATTTGGTACTCATGTTTGAGCCACGGTGGCTAACTGGGTAAGACGCTGTCTCGCTATCCCGGAGGTTGCGGGTTCGCACCCGGTGTTGGCCGAGAAGGTACAACGAGATTTTCCAGCGTGGTGTCCTCTTGTTAGTGGTGCAGGACGGAAGGACTGACAAGTACAGCTGTCTAGTCGTTCAGATGGGACGTAAAACCGCAGCTCTGTGTACACATTAGAGTGCACGTAAAGATCCCATGGTAGTTGGAATTCATATATTCTTTGAATGGCCTTTAGTGATTGAAGATAATATAACACAAAACAGTTCTATGGATAACAATCAGTATATTATATACACATGACGTTTCGACAAGAAATCACTGGTCGTTATCAAGCATACAAATTACAAATGAGGAAAACAATGTGTTATATATAGGTACATTGAACAATAATAAGAGAAACCATAAGTTAAACATACATTATGCAAGAGCTAAATCTGATTATTGCAAGTCATTATTTAGGCTTCAGATGTCATAGAAATTATAAATTAGATCTTTATTTACACAACAAGCACAAAATCAACTCTGTAGACCCACGGATGGCCTGGATTCAGCTTGGATTTAAACGGGATTTCGTTGACTTATTTATATATACAAAGGTACGTCTGTTTCTTTTTATATATTTTAAAAGCAAACTGAATTTTCTCAAGAATCATATTAATATAGGCCTACACAGTAATAGATTTCAAAAGAGTGAACAATGCCATATCTGGGGATATGCAACACCGGATCCATTCACTTTTTTTGAATTGTCTGTATGTTTATGTTTTCCTGAGTATGATGTCCTGTCCGTGTATTTGTTTTTGTGTAAATTTTGTGTGGTGCAGTCCCCCTGCACTTACTATTTGGTACAAACCATTTTTATTAATTTCCCCTTAACACACATTCCCAGGGTGCAAAATTTAGGACAGTGTGAAAGAATACAAAGTGGGACAGCCTAAAAGAGCATACATAGAACTTCCGGCATAGATCAAATTTCGTGATTCCTCATATTTCAACTTTGCGAATAAACGCCCCACAAGCTTGCCTTCCACCTTTCTTTCCAACCATTCATATTTCTATATATTTATCAGTCCTTTATCTAATGATTTTATGTCGAATTCTCAATGCACAACCTTAGCCATGGAGGAAAAAAAGGAAAGAACTCTGTTGAGAGAATGCCGATTACGATATACTCAATGACATGGCGATTTCGCTCAATCTCGCGTGAATTTACGATACAGAATGACGATTACGTACACAGTGACAATGCGACGATACTGTTAGTGGTAACATCGCCGACATCTGGTTACCGATTTAACAGTATGGCTACCGGTAATGCCAATGGATAGATATTTTGGGATGAATGAGTTACAAATTCGTTAGAAAAAAATTAAAGATTTTTTATATTAGCGGGCGCTTTTCAAACAAGGAGCTTGAATTAAAGACGAACAATACCGGAACAAGAGTGTTGTAAAAATATCGGAACCGTACCAGACAAAAAGCAAAAAGCGTAATTTTGCTTTAAAGCGGGAAAAAATCATGTCTGATACATAAACAATTAATACATATATAAAATCGATTAATACATAATTGAAGTATAGCAAGATTTTTGTAAAAAATTTAATTTTTAAGAGGGCTTTTAATGGAACTAACTTATTATGTTTTTATCAAATTTTATAATGATTACTTTTTTATGTTTTTATCAAATTTTATATTATTATGTTTTTATCAAATTTTGTATTATGATTTTATCATATAACTTATCTCCGGTCCATAAGTAGAGTTCAGCCAGTATTATGCAGATAAGAACGTCCCACCAGTAGCACTGGTGATATTAATGGTCGCTGTCATCTCCTATGTTCATATACCCACATTACATTGACTGA